CTTGCACTGACCCTGAAGGACCTTCGGCCCACGGGGTGGGTTGGGGTGTAAAACCCAACATGACTGTCGCTCTCTAGGAGACTGCTTTTCTCCTTAGTGTTGACTTGGAAACAGAAGGTGCCTGTTTGGTCAAGAGGGAGGGGAGATCTTGGAAATTGTTTGTGTAGTAAGACGCCAGAGCTAACTGGCGGGCCCTGACGCCTACACCAGGTCGGCAGAAAGCCCCAGGACGGTGCCCTTCATGCAGGGGGTGTTGCCCTCATGTCCTGGGGTCCCCCTCTGTTCCCCTCCAACCCCGGAGGGGACAGTGGCGCAGTAGCTAAGGGCAGCCAAACCACCCAAACCATGCTCCTCTGCTTCGTAAACAACTGGCTTTCCACTGGGAAAAAAAAACCCTTTTTTTCCTCCCATCATTCACATTAGGTCTTGGAATCTTACTGTCCTCAGGGGTGAGAACTCACTGGGAGATTCTGTTCACTGTGGACTCTGGCTTTCCAGGCCTCTCCCCAAAGCTGTGCCTCAGATTGGCTATCTGCTGGCTGCACCCCCAGCACACTTGGTGTGCGGGAGGTACTTCCTGGAAAGGCCTTGGAACGGCATCCCTGATCTCTCCACCACTGCCCGTGAAGCACCAAACTCCCCTTTTCTCAAGGAGACAGGCTCAGAGAGGTCTTTTTTGCTGGTCAGTGTCACACAGATGATGACGGCAGGTTGAGGTGTACAGAGGAAACCCGTCTAGATCAGGATGGGTGCATCCTTGGGTGGCCGGCACACCTGGGTGAGGGCTGCATTTGCACCTAGTACCGCCTCTGCTGGTTTACCTGTCTGCCCTTGCTGCTGCTATCCTATCCACTTGCTGGAAGCTTTCCCTAATCCTAGGACACTGCCTGTGGCCTGTTAGCACGCGCGCGCAAACCTAGGCAAGCAATCTTTGGATTTTCCTTCTCTTGTTCCACTTGGAGGGTTTTCAAAGCAGCACTCAACTTTCCAAGACTACTTTTTAGAGTGAGAGTGGATGAGTGTCCTGGGATGTGTGGTACTGGGAGCCGCAAAGCGACAATCTAGGGCTGTCCCAACTGCCTCCCCAACTTGCGGAGCCATCCAGCCCCGGGATTTCCCACCCGTTCCTTTCCCACTTCCCAGGTTTTAAACAACACCCCCATGGCCTCCTCTCACCTTAGTGAGTCTCAGATCTAGGCCAGACCTATTTATAGGCCCTTTTCTTTTTGCTGGTAAAATGTGACACAGGACATGTGAACCTGTTCCTGCAGAAAAGGGCACACACACACTCCGGGGAAAGCCGCCAGGTCCCAGGAGCCCTCAAGCTGTGAGAACGCCACACACGGGTGCAGGATTCAGCTCTTGCTTGGAGGACCTTCTCCTGAGCCCACGTCCTGCTCCACAAGCCCAACGGCTCAAGGCCTCAGATCTCTCCTGGAGCAATCCTCGAGCTGGCCCCACTGTGCAGGCCCCCTGCTCCACAGGCGCCTCTCCTCTGGCCAAGCATGGCAGAAGGTCGGTATGTCCAGCTCTGGGCCAGACAGGCTGTGTTCTACTTTGCTGACCTGGCTGGCAGGGGCCCTCCATCCTTGCCCTTTCTCCCCCGCCAGGAGATCAAGGGTTCATCAGATAAGTTTTGTGTGCACTGTCTGGCTCCGTCTGTCTGACCTGCTGGGCTGACATTCCAACAATGAGCTCCAGGGGAAACTGGCATGCAGTGTTTACGCACCGCCCAACAGGCGCCCTAAGCCACAGTCAGCCTAGCTGCCATGGGCCAGGCCTGCTTCCCTGGCACAATGACATTATCTCATTGAATCCGTTCGATAAGCCAGGGATCTGGGGATTTCTAGCCACGTCGATGGGAAGTGAACAGTGGGGAGGTAACTTGTTCATGGTCACAGAGCTAGAAAATGCGGATTCCAAAACCTGTGTCGTCTCAGAAGACCACGCAGCCTTAGCAAGGTGGTCTGGGGAGCCACTCCCGAGAGCCAAGGAGAGCGCTCACACCAACAGTACAGCACACTGCGCCCTCCTGGCTGGTCCTGGCCTGTGGCTGGCCCACTTGTCCTAGTGATCCCCATCCACCCCCTGACCTGGACTCCTGGGCTTGGCTGCATGAGTGCTAAGTGCACAGCAATGCTGTTCTCCCTGGCGCCATCCCATAGGCCAACCCCTGCTTGCAGTGCAGACCTTCTGGCTTGCCCTGGCCATGTCTACTCAATTCTAAATACAAAGCATGGTGTGTTTTCTTGTTTTTTCCCCCCACTTTCCTATTTAAAATTCCAATTCTGCTCCAAGTCTGACAAATCTTATCCTAACGTACGCCACAGGTCTTATGTTGTAACAGTTTGTATTGACTGCCCTAACACAACTGCCTACAACCAAAACATCTAGTTTATAAAGGATTCAGATTCAATTTCTTCCTTCCCCCAATTGAACGCTGTGAAGCAGGGCTATTCACGTTCAGCACTGTGGGTGTTTGGGCCAAAAGATCCTCCGTGATACCTGGGACTGTAGCCTAGGCCTCTGCCTGTTCCATGGCGGCAGGATCTCTCCCACAATCCCCACTTCCCGCTGTGGGAACCAAAAGTACCTGCAAACACTGCCAAGGGGCGGGGGGACGGGGACGGGGGGGAATTCTTCCGGCCCGAATGAAGTTCCTGCATCTTGGGTGTTAGCACATCCACAGCACAGGCCGAGCATGCTCACAGGACTGGCAGCAGTGCCAGGGGAGGGATTTTGTCCTACAGGATAGTCTGTGCTCGCTAAGCATGATGGGGATGCAGTGCCTGGAGGCTGCCAGCGCCTAAGCCCCAGTACCACCCAGAAGCCATGTTCCTCTGCCTGCTCCTCCGGCTGCTTCCTTCTCTCCCACCACGAGCCTGCCCTTCGCCTTGCTCGTCCTCATTGCCCATTCATGTGTCCACTCCTGCTGCACCTGTGCCTCACTGTCCTCCACTCCATGGGGATGTCCCTGGGTTGGCCAAAGAAACCTTAACACTCAGTCTCCATTGCTTTGGCCACTTACAGCAGGCTGCGTGGGACCAAATCCTGGCCAGGTCAGAACCTGGGAGGACAGGGGCCAGTGTGGTGGTAGCCTAATGGCTAAAATCTTTGCCTTGCATGCACAGGGATCCCATATGGGCTCTGGTTCATATCCCAGCTGTTCCACTTCCCTTCCAGCTCCCTGCTTGTGGCCTGGGAAAGCAGTCGAGGACAGCCCAAAGCCTTTGGACCCTGCACACACACAGTAGACCTGGAAGAAGCTTCTGGCTCCTGGTTTCTGGTTTCGGATTGGATCAGCTCAGCTCTGGCTGTTGTAGCTACTTGGGATGGAAGATCTTTCTGTCTCTCCTCTCTGTAAATCTAACTTTCCAACAAAATAAATCTTAAAAAAACAAAAAACAGCACTGGGGAGGAGAATAAGGTGAGCCAAGAACAGGGATGAGACAAAAACATCACCTCCTCCTTGGCTGGATGGGCCTGGGGCTGCCCTGCTTTTACAGGCATAGCTCAGGGGGCCTGGGGACAAAGCAGACTCACGGGAGGTAGGGCTGGACTGGACAACTGGCAAGTGCCATGATGGCACCAGCAGGGGCCTAAGGTTGGAAACAAGGGCACCTAGCAGACTGGTAATATTCAGCCATAATGGAAAACTAAGCAGGGAGAAAGGAATGTTAATTTGTTGCTTATTTAAAATGTTTACAACTCAGGCCCAATCACTGAGAAGTTCAAGAACTAGTATGAGTAACTATGCATTAACTCCATGTGCTGCATTTAAAATTGCATAAATGGATTCTTCTGGGTAAGAACCCCCAATGAGACAGACCTTCTTTAAAACGATTCCCTCGAGGCAGCAGTAAATCAGCTTGTATTAATTTGGTGCCTGCCACCCACGGGGCAGGGTGCAGGACACCCGAGTGAAGAAGCCACAAGGTCCACGCTTTCTGGAAACACATTGAGCAGGGCTCTCTTGGTCTCCCGTTAGTCTGAGGAGCAGACAGAGGCAAACTCAGCCTAATGGGGACCCCACACCTGACACTTACCCATCCACCCTCGGAGCAGATTCGAACTTTCTGCATGTCCGCGGGGTGACCCTCCAGCTTCCGGCTCTCAATCTCTTCTTCATCTTGCTCTTCTTTCAGGGTTACGCTGAAAGGGTAGGCTGCCGACTCCATCTCTGCAGGCAGAATTCAGTTCAGAAAGTCAGGCATAGCTGTGACCACCTGTGATGAGGCCCAATCCCCTGGGCCCTCAGCAGGGCTACAGGCTGGTGAGGTCAGACACCAGGGCCAGGGGACCCAGAATGTCAGGGCAGCAGCAGGGTAGCAGAGTTCATCAGGATAAAGACAGGTAGGAGGTACAGAATCCATCCAAATGCCAGATGTTTGAAGCGGTATCCATGGAACAAAGATCAGGTTGGATGATGCAGACCAGGGAGAGAAGGGCAGAGCCGAGGCCAGCACACCAAACTTTCTGGGAACAGATTTGAGACTGTGCACAGAAAGGCAGGACATAGAGGCAGTGGGGAGGTGTGGAATTCCCATGCCTGCAGGTGTCTGAGCCAGGATAGGACTTTGATTGAGCTGGGTTGGTGGAGAAACTGCTTGGCTCCAGAACAGGCATCGCCTGGATTTTCCAAAGCGCAAGGTTCGACTCACGAGCCCATTCAGCAAATGCAGCCACACTGCTTCTTCCAGGGCTTTCCAAACCCCGGGAATCCGTGGCAGGCGCACCGTGAGGGGCATGCGTGCAGACGCAAGAAGAAAAGTGCAGAAACGTACAGGGCGCCCACCCAGACCAGCAGCAATGACCTCGGCAGGCCAGTACAAAGAGCCGCACACCCACCCTTCAGGGACACAGGCACACGGGCAAATTCCTAGAGACTCAGGGAGCTTGCACCTCGTGGGCCGCAGCCCCTCCGCGGGTTCCAAAGAAATGACCCCTACAGAGTTCACAGCTCATGAAAAAATACACAGGAGAACGTGATGGGGATGAGTCTAGGTGGGTGGAACGCGCCAGCTACTCAGAAGCAGGAGGTAGGAAGACACTGCAGCCCGTGGGAAGAAGGTGCCCCGCAGCGGCGGCTCCCGCCGCCCGCCCACCGCGGCCCGCGCCCCGCCCGCCGCCGCCGCCGCCACCGCCGCGCCCCCGGGCGCGCTCGGATTTCTCCAGCCATCTTGTCCCATTTCCCTTTCTCCGTGGCCCCGAGCCGGGAGCGCTCCCGCCGCTCCCTCCGCCGGGCCCGCCTCCTCTCCAGGCTCCCTCCCGGCCCCAGCGCACCTGCCGGGAGACGGGAGCCGGAGCAGCCCGCCTCCCCCGGCGGGCCCGCAACAAAGGCGGCGAAGGCGGTGTCGGTGGTGGCGGCGGCGGCAGCTGCTGCTGCTGCTGCTGCTGCTGCTGCTGCCGCCTCGGTGCCCCCGCCCCCGTCGCGGCCCAGACGCCCCGGGGTCCCGGGGGAGGGACCGGCCTCGCCGCCCCGCCCCGCCGCCCGTGCATGCACTCACCGCGGCGGCTGCCGAGCGGCTGAGGCGGGCCGCGGGAGCTCCGGCCCCGGCTGTCACAGCGCCATCCTTTCCGCCTCTCTTCCCGTGCGCGCGGCCCCTCGGGAGGGAGCGGGGAGGACACGTGGTGGGAGGAGGGAGGGTCCGGCCGGGAGCTGAGGGTGTTGGGAGGCGAGGGGAGGAGCGCGGCTGATGTCAGCAAGGCCTCGGCGGCGCCCGGCCCTCCTCCCCGCGCCGCTTCCGCCGGCCCGGGTGGCCGTGCCCTCTGCGGCCCCGCGGTGCGCTCCGACGCGCGAGGCGGGGACAGCGCGACGCGCGTGGCGGGGACAGCGCCGAGTTGTCCTCTCAGCACGGGTGACGTGGGAACGCGCCTCCGCGGCCCTCGGTTCTCCAGAGGTTTGCATACACTTGTTTGGAATTGCACGGCACAAGACGTCTAGGGCGAGAGAGAGTGGTCGTGGGTTAACTGTTCTGGTCGGTCTGTGGCCACAGCCGTGTTCCTGGAGAAGGTACTGTCGTGATTTCTGCCTTCGCTGCCTGTTAAAGCACCCAGCGTGTCACCCGTGGACCAAATAGGTGTAGGGAGGAACTTCTCCGAGATGTTCAAGGAGTTGCTCGCTTGAGGCATAGTAGTTCCAAAGTAACCCAAGAACCCCACCCCCCCCCCCACCCCAAGAAGCTTCTTCTTAGTTTTAGAGGGAGATGCGGGGTGCTGGTCTATGTTGGAAACTTGTTAAAAGACTATTGACATTTATTAAAACCACGAGGAAGGCTTTGTTCAGGGGAGAGAAGAGCCAGTGGCTGGAGAGTTGAAAGGCCAGGTGCAGAGTGAGGGGCGCAGAGAGTGGAAAATTACCAAGGTGGGTTCCAGAGCAAAGCCAGACTCGCTCAACCGACGTCACAGGATTCTTACTGCGGACAGCTAGACTGGGGAAATGAGGTGCTTGATTAGATAGGGTGGGGGCTTCTCTCTGATCCTACTTGGACTGGGCAAGGCCAGGCACGTGGGCGGCAGGGCAGGGGAAGGAGGTAGAGACAGGGAGGAGGGCTCCGGAGTCTCAGGTTTGAGAGAGAAGCCGTAGAACTTTCCAGATTATCCCAGAGGTTCCGGCTTCCTGCTGGGAAAGAGCTGTAGCTTTCCATTCAGATGTGGGATTGTGTTCTTAAAACCTGAAGTCTAATCACCAAGTCCTTGAACCATAATGACTGGCTAGAGCCAGAGGAGATCTAATGAGTAGAGGAAAAAATCATCCAAGTGTACTATATGGGTGTGCGAGGCGGGCAGGCTTTTCTGTTTTAATGAACAGTTCTTTATGTGTGTGAGGTTATAGTATTTTGAAAGTAGAAATGACAGCTTCAGTTGGTTGGCGTTCCCATCCTAACTGTCATGAGGAAATGGCAGGTTCCAATGGAAAAGTCGGAGCTTCGGTCAGTAAAGTTGGGATGGCGCCACGGCCGTTTTGGAATCTCAACTTCTTGCAAAAATAGATACAGGTAATGACATAACTAAACAGTTATCTGTTAAGGCTTCATCTCTGAAAGTCCTACCTTTTTTTTTTTTTTTATGGTTTACTCGTTTTATTGGAAAGGCAGATTTACAGAGAAAAAGGCCTTGCATCCTCTGACTGCAGTGGCCCAAACTGAGCCTCCCTGAAGTCAGGCGTCAGGAGCTTGTTCTGTGTCTCCCACCCAGAAGCAGTGTCCCAAGGTTTTGGATCATCCTCTGCTGCCTTCCCAGGCCATAAGGAGGGAGCTGAATGGGAAGTGGGACAGCTGGGACATGAGCCAGCATCCATATGTGATCGCAGGACTTACAAGGTGAGGATTTAGCCATTGAGCCATCATGCTGGGCCCTTTTCATTTTTTAGATTTATTTGTTTTTAAAAAGATTTACAGAAAGAGAGGGGTGTTTAGGAAGAGAGAGAGAGAGAGATCTTGCCTCCACTAATTCATTCCCCCCAATGGCTGCAATAGCCAGTGCTGGGCCAGACCAAACCTGGATGGTCATTCGATGACACCCTGGAGGCCTCAGTGTGGGAAAGAATGTTCCAAGGGTATTATTTGAATGGTTTTGATAGTTCTGAGATGTTGTTGGCTTTATTGCACCAGGGTTGAGAAAATATTTCCAAGGTTTATTGGCTGAAAAAGTCCACCTTAATATATCCACAGACACAGGAACATGTTGCAAAGCTTGGTCAGGAGAGTTGTCTAACCTGTTCTACTTTCCATCCACTGATGAGGCACTTAACGTCCTCTGCTGTCTTACATGAGTTAGTTGTCATGTTCCCTGTATGCGTCTGGGCATGCTGTCTACTGCACAGGCATCAGCAACTAAGAAGGCCCAGTCCCCCAGTTCATAACAAATCAGAACCAGGATGTGGGACAAGCCAGGTTGGGTGCTGCAACCTGGCCCAGCACAGCCTGCCCCTAGACCTGGCCCACACACATGTCTATGAGTACTGCAGCCTTACCTGACTTGGCCTGCCCCTGGCTCTGGCTCCCATGTTGCCCAGGAGGAGCTGTGGCCTGGCAGGGGAGTTTCCTAAGTTCCGCTATCAGGCCTGCTCCAAGCCTTGGGTCCCACACATGTCAGTAGATGCCATGATCCTGCTTGGCATGATCTGCTCTCAGTCCTGGCCTTTGCGTGTGCTCATGGGTGCTACAGGCTGACCTTGCCCAGCATACTCTCAGCCCCAGTCCATCTGTCAGGTGAATTCTGCGGTCTTGGCTTCGCCCATCACCACCCCTGCCCTCCATACAAACCTACAGACTCTGCAGTCCCATAGAGATGAGCCTTTAAGTCCCTCTATAGAATCTGTCCCCAGATCGTGTTCCAGTGGGTGCTGCCACCCAGTCTGACATGACTCACTCCCTGCCCCTGCATGCCCAGGCAGGTACTGCAGCCTAGCACAGCCAGGCATTCCCCCCAGATCCAGCTTTCACAGTGGGAGATGATACTCAGCCCAGCCCAGCCCACATGGGAGGATGCCTTGGCCTAACCCAGACATGCTTTCCAGTTTTCTCCTTCTAAACCACTCCATCTCAGCTTCCTTGCCTACTGAGAGTGCAATGGCCCAGTCTGTGGAAGCCCCCAAAATTCACTGCTCATCTGTCAAATATGCCCTAAGCGGCCCCTACTCCAACACATCTCCATTCCACCTTCCCCAGGCAAGCTGCAGCCTCTCACATGGGGGCCGGGATGCTGTGTCCCGGCCCGGCATCCCCAACTTTCCCTGCATATCTTAAAAAAAAAAAAGTAGAATAGGCAACTATGCTGGCACAGTGGTATAGATAACAGAGTTGGCAGGCTCAGAATGCCTGCCAGCTAATGGCTGTTTTTCTCCCAGCAGTGTAACACTTGTTCAGATATGACCCCGGCAGTTGCCTACAGCTGGGTTCATCACATATTTAAATCTCAAGTTTGCTAGGACCCAAATCTCAGCCATGTATGAGTCTGTCTCTGATGCTTGATTTTTTCTCCTCAAACTGTGTCTATTGGCTTTTAGCTAGCCTAGTAATTTTTTTTTTCATGGAAGCTAGACAGTAACAGGTAAAAGGCACTGAGCTGTGAGGGGTGTGTGTGTGTGTGTGTGTGTGTGCACACTCACACATGCACACGCAAAGGGTTAGTAGGCTGTGTTTATTTTTTGTAGGAGCTCTGGTATCTTGAGGCCAGGATTTCTTCTGGTGTTTTGTGTTTCACCTGTTGTCTTTATTATTATTATTTTTAAAAGATATTTATTTTTATTGGAAAGAGATTTACAGAGAGAAGGAGAGAGAGAGATAAAAAGATCAGGAGGGTAAGCCTTGGGACCGTGCATCTGTGTTGGAGATCTGGAAGAAGCTCCTGGCTCCTGGCTCTTGATAGGCTCAGCTCCAGCTATTGCAGCCTTTTGGTGGGGAGTGAACCAGCAGGTGAAAAAATCTCTCTGTCTCTTCATCTCTGTCTCTCTAAATCTGCCTCTCAAATAAAAATGAATGCTTAAGATAATAGAATTGTATTAGTTAACTTCAAAATGGTTATTTGTCCCCTCCTGTCTCCAGAAGCATAAGGAAAAGGCTTGCTCTGGGAAATGGGGAGATTCCGGTTAAGATCACCCTCTGCAGTTAGGGTTAGACATAAAGGCCAGGAAACTCCTAAGCTTCCTGCAGACATTCCTGCCAGCAGGCTCGAGCAGCTCCTTGTCCCGTGAGGGTCTCCTACAGCTCTCAAAGGAGGTGTTGATAATCGGTGTGCCGAGAGGTTTTTCTTGCGAGGACAGGTGTGACCGATGCGAAGATTTTTACATGTTGGACCAGAAACTATTTTTTCTTGTTAGAAAAAGAAGTTATTCGTGGCAAAGGGTCAGAGTTCTGTCACGTACATGTGTAACTGTTCAGTGGTCTTCTTCATGGAAATGAACAAAGCCTGGTGTTCAGGGTTTTGCACTGAAAACAAACTGATTCTAACTTGTATGTGTTTAAACAGTATGTATTTTGAAGCACCAGGAAGGATGAGACTGTCAGGGCGGTGTGAATTCTGCTGAAATTAAAGCAAGAAGAAGCATCAGACTTATGGCAAACTAATCAAGCTTTATGAAAATTTATAGTGCCTCAAAGAGAATTAATCAGTTTGCAGATGGATAACTCATTTTAAGAAGGGATTAGGTGTCACTGGGGATAAAGCCCAGAGTGACAGATCCTCTAAAATCAATTTGCAAAGAAAAATACTATACTTGCTCTTGTCTTAGTTGCAGAGTCCCAGTGATACCATGGACATCTCAACTTGTTGAGCCCACACAATTCATTTTTTTTTAAAAGATTTATTTTTATTATTTTTTCATTGGAAAGGCGGATATACAGAGAGGAGAGACAGAGAGGAAGATCTTCCATCCGATGATTCACTCCCCAAGTGAGCGCAACGGCCGATACTATGCCGATCCGAAGCCAGGAGCCTCTTCTGGGTCTCCCACGCGGGTGCAGGTTCCCAAAGCTTTGGGCCGTCCTCAACTGCTTTCCCAGGCCACAGGCAGGGAGCTGGAAGGGAAGCGGGGCAGCCGGGATTAGAACCGGCGCCCATATGGGATCCCGGGCGTGCAAGGCGAGGACCTTTAACCACTTGCGCCACTGCACCGGGCCCCACAATTCATTTTTTTTAAGACTTTTTAAAAAAGATTTATTTTTATTGGAAAGGCAGACATGCAGAGAGGAGGAGAGACAGAGAGGAAGATCTTCCATCCAATGGTTCACTCCCCAAGTGGCTGCAATAGCTGGAGCTGAGTCAATCCAAAGCCAGGAGCCAGGAGCTTCTTCCAGGTCTCCCACAGGGGTGCAGGGTCCCAAGGCTTTGGGCTGTCCTCAACTGCTTTCCCAGGCCACGAGCAGGGAGCTAGATGGGAAGTGAGGCTACCAGGATTAGAATTGGCGCCCATAAGGGATCCAAGTGTATGCAAGGCG